TTCAATAAAAATGTTTACAAATTTTAATTTCTTTGAGTTACAAGACTATAAAGGCTTTCTAGTTCTTCTTGAGTCAGGTTTTTCTAAAGAAGTTATACATTTTTTTTCCAAAGTTTATATCGGAATAAAATTATTCATGTTGTTGTTGCAGGCTGTTGAGTCAGAACCAACCATAGCTGACCCTCCGTTGGGTTTTCAGAGGCAATTAATCTCACAGGAGGAGACTGCCCATTCTTCTTCCACAGAGCTGCTGGTGGATTTGAACCATGTGCCTTTGGGATTGCCGCACAGCTTCTTGCAACTAGGCCAGCAGTGCCCAGTAGTCATAAGTTCCTAATATTCTCTTATGTTTCTCGCTCCAGAACAAGCTATTATCCAATTTGCCCTAAACTCTGGGGCCATCACTTGCATGTCCACCAGTGTGCCGTGATATGGCAGTCTGCATCCTGCTGTGATGATGAAAGTCATGCTACTAGTATTTCAAATACCACCAGGATCACTCATAGTGGATAAGTTTCAGCAGAACGTCCAGTCTAAGAAGCAAGACTGGTCATCCACTTTTGAAATAAGAGGCACTGAAGCCCCAGTGAAAACCAAAAGAACACTGTTGAATGTACAACCATAAGATGAGACCTTCTAGGTGGAAGACATGCAAATCAGACTAGGGAAGAGCTGCTCCCTCAAAGTTGAGTCTACCTTGAGATGTGGATGAAGGACTTCTATTTAACGACGTGGCAAGAAGTACAAATCTAGGAAAATGGCAAGTTTCAAAAATGAAATGGAACAAATAAAAACTGACATTATAGGCATTAGTGAATTGAGATGGACTAGTATTGGCCATTTTGAATCAATCATATGATCTACTATGCTGGGAATGGCAAAGTAGAGAAATTCATTCATCTTCATCTTTACATTCATCTTCAAAAAGAACACCTCAAGATCTAACCTTAAGTGCAATGATGTAAGTGATAGGATAGTTTCCATACAAATACAAGAAATACCTGTTAATACAACTATTACTCAAACATACACACCAAACTTCTGCAGTCTAAAATGGCCTGAACATGCAATTAAAAGGCATTAATAATAACTGGTGACAGGAAAGCAAAATTTGGAAACAATGGAAGACTTGCATTTGTAAAATAAGGATGTAGTGACAGATTTTTGTACAATCAACAACTTACTTATTGCAAATATTTACTCCAAGGACTTGCTCCTCCTGACACATGCTCAAAGTATGTGAGATGCAGTTTCACCATCCATCTTTGCCTCTACAGAACATTCTGGCTACATTTCCCTCAAGACAGATTTGTTTGTTCTTTTGGCAAGTCCATCTGATATTTATATTCTGTGCCAGGACAGTAATTTAAAGGCATCTATTCTTTAGTCTTCTCTATTCATTGCTCAATGTCTCCATGTAAAGAGATGGTGGGAGAGCTCAACATCATGAGTCAAAACAATGCCAGGAGTTGACTTTGGAACAGACCATAAATTATTCATAAGCAAATAAAAATTAAAATTGAAGAAAATTCAAACAAGTCCGTAAGAGTTAAAATATGACCCCAAGTTTATCCCAAATGAATTTAAAAGCTATCTCAAGAAGAGACTTTACTGGCTGAACACTAATGACTCAAAACCAGATGAATCATGGGATGTTGTCAATGTCATCACTTGTGAAGACAGCAAAAGGTTATTACAGACAAAGAGAAGAAAGACCAAAATGGTGTCAAGGGAGACCCTAAAACTTGCACAGAAAAGAGAGCAGTAAAAACAAAGGGAAGAAATGCTGAAGTAAGAGAGATGAACAGAAGATTTCAGATGGCAACTTGAAAAGGTAAGAGATGGAATTAGAAAAGCAGATGGGAAGAACATATTGAACATTTCTCAAACTGATCCTTACCAGGATACTTTTCAATTGCTTCCTATGCATCTGAAAGTTGGATAATGAAGGATGACAGAAGAACTGATGCCTTTTAACTGTGGTGTTGGAAAGAGTACTGACTAGACTGTCAAAATAACCAACAAGTTGGTCTAGGAGCAAGTGCAACCAAGGTGCTTCCTAAAAGTGAGGATGATGAAACTTCATCTCATATACTTTGGGTCTACCTTCAGGAAGGTGTCCCAGACACCATGCTGGGAAAGGCAGAGGATCAAAAAAAGGGAGGAAGACCCTCAATAAGATGGATTCAGTAGGTTCAAACAAGGCAGAGATCACAAGAATGGTGCAAGGTAGGGCAAGGTTCAGATCAGCTGTTCATAAGGTTGTGTGGGTTGTAGCAGACTCAGTGGCACCTAAGAACGGAAAGTACAGAAGGAGCCTTGTAGCACAATCGTTAAGAATGTGGCTGCTGACTGAAAGGTCAGTAGTCTGAACCCATCGGGAACTCCATGGGAGAAAAGACTTGACAATTTGCTTCCCTAAAGAATAGATCCCCAAAAGTTACTGCCATTATGTTGGTTTTGATTCATGCTGACCTTCCATTGTGTCTGTGATACTGTAAAGCTTCATGAGAGGAGACTTTATCTTTCTTCTGCAGAGCAACTAGGACATTAGAACTGCTGACCTGATGCTGAGGTCAACACTGTGTTAAGTTAGCAGCCCACCATGCTATGCCTACAGATGACAGGCTAGAAAACAGTATGGGTCAGCTCTACTATGAGATATGGGGTCAAAAATCAACTTAATGAATCAACAGTCAGAATCAATGTAACAGCACAGAACAACAGCAAGTAAGCAAAGTGGACAAAGGCTGGTGATTCAAGTGCATCACAAAATAGGCCTGGAATGTTACTGAAAGGCACCTCTGTACACATACGTCATGAGTCAGAACCAACACCAACAAAGTAAGCACAGAAAAGAAAATTAACAATAAAAACTCATTTGTCTTCCAAATTGACAACATGAACTTTGGAAAAGAGGTAAGTTCAGATGCAAAAATCTACTTCCACAGCCCTGAAACAAGAACTAGAGGGTGCCTGGTCACCACTGCTGACCACTCTAAAGGAGGTCATGGTAGAAGATCCTCCACAAGAGTGGGGTGGGGGATGTGGAACAACATTTTAGAACATAGGGCGCTCTGGTGGCCTACTGGCAAGAAGCTGTGCTGCAATCCTGAAGGCACACAGTTCGAATCCACCAGCTGCTCTGCTGGAGAAGGAGGGGCAATCTCCTCCTGTGCCAGTCAGATTAGATCTGACAGTACACAACAAGGAGGAAAAAAAATTAGAACATAAAAAAGGCCTGACTTACTGGTCAGACAGAGACTAGTGAATCCCTGAGGCTATGGAGGACAAAACAAAGAAAAGAACCTGACAAGATGGACTGACATGGTGACTAACATAGCGATTCAAGCATATCAGAGATGCTAAGGCTGGCACAGGAAAGGGCAAGGTCCCGATTTGTTGCTCATATGATCACTATGAGTTGTAGCTGACTCGATGGCCCCTAACAATAACATGGTCCTTAACTTACCCTGCAGCCTGGAATAAAACTCACTCCACTGCTCAACTTCCTTCCAGTCCAACAAGGCAGGCCTAGACCTACAAGGTGACTAATAACACTAGCGAGGCCTGTACGTCTTAGAATAACCAAACATGTAAGGTCAAAACAGCAGTATTTGCCCAAGGACATAAAGCACTGAATGCAGGAAAGGATAGGATGGAAGGATTAATAGAAATAAAATTATGGGCAAGAAGTAGGAATAGTGAGATTGCACTGAGGATATGGTAAATAATGTTCTAAAACATGATTTGTATAACTAGTTGAACGAAAACCAATTCATTTTTATAAACTTCCGCTCAAATCACAATGTTGTTGTGTACTATCAAGTTGGAATCAACCCATCCATAGCTGACCCTCCAGTGGGCTTTCAGAGGCACTAAATCACATGTGAGGAGATTGGCCATCCTTCCGCTGAGCGGCTGCTGGCCTTGAACCAATACACAGTAATAAAAACAAATCTTTATTGATAGCTACAGTGTAAACTGGAACAGGCTTTCTTGGTGATCATATGTATCTTGTGCCAGAAACTGGAGTTCTGGTGCTAGAGTGTGTACCAGTCTGCACTGTGAACTAAAAGGTTCTAATCCACCAGCAGCTCCTCAGGAGCAAAATGGGTAGTTTTCTTCCATTAAGATTTTACAGCCACAGAAAGCTGATGAAGGGCTGCTGTGAGTTTGAGAAAATGATGGCAGTGTATAGCACATAAATCAGCAATAGTATCTCTCTAAGTTTATAGTAACTAAATAATCAGTTAAATATAGACATCTGTGTAAATTTGAGTATGCATAAAACAGGGGATTTATAAGCCTAAATGTAAAGGTAGTTACTGAAGCACGCTGACTGATTCTTTTTATTCTGTTTCTTCCTAATTGCTATAATAAGCATATATTACCTTTGGAATATAAGGGTAGTCTATTTTGTGACTTAATATTTTACCTTTCTGGAAACAAATATTTACAGACAGTTTGCATTATGGAGGATTATGGAGACTTCTGTCTCTCTTATCCATTTCAGTCTAAATTTTTAAGATAAACTTCTGTTTTGTTGTGCTGACATGCTGTATGTTGTACAAAGCCTTAAAGTAGAATACATGTGAAAAGATTTCTGACTCAAAACAAAAATGCAAAAATATTTAAGTACAGGAACTGAATGTCATTTGTCAGTTATTATAAATCGTTATATTTGCAATCTAAGAATAGTTCATGTATGAAGTGAGATAAGTCAGTCTAAATTCAACTAGGGAGCGCTGGTGGCCTAGTGGCAAGGAGCTGTGCTGCAATCTCAAAGGCACTTGTTCAAATCAACCATCTGGTTGGTGGAAGAATGATAGGCAATCTGCTCCCATGCAATTTACTGCCTCTGAAAACCCTCTGGAGGGTCCTCTATGGTTCAGTTCTGACATGAACAACAACAACAAATTCAACTAGGAAAATAACTCTAGAACACCCCATTAATTTTTGGACCCATCATGTCCCCATCTCTTTCATTATCACCTAACCTTTCCTTCAAGTCATCCAGGCATCTCTGAAGGTGGACTTCCCCTGCTGTGACTAGAACGTGTTCTCCTGTTTCCTGAATTAAGATCTGGACACAGGGATCAGCCTGGTTTAACAGCTTCATTCCTTTGACAAGCTGGGGCATTTCACCTAGGTGAGAAAAGGAAATATTGATTAAATATAAGAAATATAGCCTAGGATAAGATCTATGGCCACCCAAAAGAAAAGCACAATGAAATAAACTCATAAAGTGATTGCTTATTTTTCATTCACAAAATGCAGACACCAAATGTGTGGAAAACCATCTTCTAATGATTTATGTGTATAGATGTTGCTGTTATGTGCCATCCAGTCACTTGCGACCCATAGTGACTCTATGTACAGCAGCTCTGAACCCTGTCCTGTCTCACTGATTTCGACACAACAACCCCCATTGCCCCAGTTACTGTATCAATCCATCTAATCCAGGTCTTCCTCTCCTGCACTGTCCCTCCACCCTTCTGAGCATGATATCCTTCTCCAAGGACCAGTCTCTCCTGCACACTTAGATGTGTACAGATAACGAAATACTTACAGTTTATCACCTCTTCAAATAGAAGTGACTGTGATTACATATGTACATTTCTAAAAGTATAACAGAGCTCTTCCACAAACAGCAAAAGTATAAGCAAAAAAAGCATTTACTATAGTAGTCAATAAAAAGAAACAATATCAAGAGTTTCACATTTGAAATAATCAACTGTAAAACTGATTGTCAGAACTGTAGGTTTTAGAACAAACCTGTCCTTTGGGTGAGTCAGACTTCTAACACACTAACTAGAAGCTTTATCCAGTTAGCTATAGTTCTTTCACATTGCAGTCTGCTTCTGCTTTTAGCATATAATTGTTTTTTCTTCACAGTTCATGGGAATTGGGGGTATGGGTGGGGCTCTGATCAACAGCCTGGCCTTAGTACTTTTCTCCAATTCCTATTATTGAGCTGCTACCACTGCTCACTCAAGCAGGCCACAGGAAACCTGCCATTTGTCTGTCTTGGCACTGAAGGAAGTTTTCCTAGCATTGTTTCCATCTTTGTTAGAAGGAAGGACTCAGTCATTCTTCTAGTGCTTTCCTCTCAGCATGCCAAACCACCGAACTCCTAAGAGCTCTCTGTCATGAACTGGTCTTGAATGAGTTATGCAATACCATTGGGTGCAGGAAGAAAATACTACAATTTCCATAGCCTTGATTTTTCTTGGATAAAATAAATAAAGCTTTTCTAATACTCTTCAGAGTTCTAACAATGTGTCAGACAAGTGCATGAATTCAGTAACTCCAAGGAAGGTATGAATATTATTTCATAGGTGAAGAGCGAGCTGGTAAAGAAAAGCTAAAGGATTAGTGCTCTCGCTCAGAGTTTCTACAGAACAGTGTGGTTTTGAAGCTAGCCAGCCACAGGGTCCACACCCTCCATGGGTGGTGGGTGCATCACCATCTATCAGATGCGTGGACGGGAGTGGGATTCCACCGCACACAGTGGTTCAAAGAGGCATCCTTATTTGTCAGTTTGCTTTCAGCACACTACAGTTTTGCTTTGCCTAGTTAAACGGATTTACAGATAGTATCTAGTGTTAACCAACTTAAATCTTTACAGAATGTGAAACATGGCTTAAAAGGATCCCAGCAAAGAGACCACAGATTGAAGATAACATTAATAACACAAGCATAAGGGAACAGTTAGAAAAAAGAGTAAGGCTTTTTGTCAGCTCTCCATCAGCCAAATTAGAAAGCAAACAACAGCAGTCACTGGTATGGGAACCTAGCAGACACTCTACTCTAAAAACAAACAAATGAACACACAGGGATAGTTTAACAGCAAGCAACAAAGAAACTCTTTTGCAAAGACCCCTTGGAACCTGAAGACATTTAGAAATGAGTTCTTTGTAAATGTTTCTATTGCTACCCATTTGGCTACCCTAAACAACATACCCACATTTCATCTATACACCAAATCCATGGCTGTCCAGAGCAGAACATCAAAGTCCCCCACCCACAATGACCTTCACAGGACACAGCAGAACTGCCCCATAGAGTTTTCAGGCTATAAATCTTTACAGAAGCTGATAGCCACATATTTCTCCTGAGGAGCAACTGCTGTTGTGTGCCACTGAGTCAGAATCAACTCACAGCTGACCCACTAGCAGATTTTCAGAGGCAGTAAATCTCATGAGAGTCTGCTCATCCTTCTCCCACACAGCAGCGAGTGGATTTGAACCTCATGCCTTTGGGATTGCAGGACAGCTTCTTACCATAATCTACCAGAGCACCCTCTGAGAAGCGGCCAGTGGATAAGAACTGCTGACCTTTTTAGTTAGCAGCTGAGTGTTTTAACCACTTTACTACATCTATAAAACTTCTCAAAATTTGGAAGTTTCCTTTCCTAATCCTATTTTAAAAGTCTCCATATGAATTAATTGTTAAAAATTTAAAATTCAGCATATTCTGAAAGCAAGTTTTTTAAGAAAGAAAAACCTCCAAACTATAGTTGCTATAAAGTTGATTCTGATTTCAGGAAACGTCGTGTGCTGTAGAATAGAACTCCACAGGATTTTCAGAGCTGTGACTTTTTGGGAACAAAAAGACCTTCCTACAGTCCTTTCTTCCAAAGTGGCAATAAACTGTTTTGAACCGACAATCTTTTGGTTAGTCCCTGAATGTTTAACCTTTTGTACCACCCAGGGAATTCACAACATCCTCTAATGTACACTGCATCGAGTCAATGCTGAATGAAGTAGATAAAAGATTATCTACATTTTTCATAAAAATTTTTGTATAACTAGTAAATGGGATTCTAAGATGGATAACAATATTTTTTGCAAAGGCATCAAATGATGTTTTCCTTCACTGTGGTCTGTAGGCTTGCATGGCACCTTTCCTAGGGATGTGAACGATTAAAATCAAATGTCAGAAGAAAGCGACAAATAGACCTTTGAGGAACTGTATCACAAAGTGTTACACTAAGATAGCAAAAATTACTCCTCACTTTCTGACACTCACTCTCCTGTGCAGTTCCCTCCTCCAGGGAACCTGGGCTGTTTTCATGGCTAGATTACCAGGGCATTGTAGCTTCTACCTTCCTGCCTTGAGCTGCTTGCTGAGGCCAACCACCTCAGTAGTGCTATGCAGCAGGGCCCACAAGCAGCCATGCTGGGGGGCCTCCATTGGAGGCACAGAGGTCTACAGTAAACACCGATGGAAAAATCACCCCAAAGTCAGACTAACTCTTCAGATGAACAAAATTTGGTTCACAAATGACTGCAACTGTATGATACCCCAAGTTAAACTTTCCCCAAATCCCTAGTCAAGGATATTGATTTCAGCTACCAAGTTCTGCAGTAATTTTAATGTAGCATTAGCCACTGTGGTCAAGTCAGTTCCAACCAGCCAACTGGTTTCTGAGGCTATAAATCTTTGCAGGAGAAGATTGTCCGTCTTTCTTCCATGGAATAACTGGTGGATTTGAACCACTGACCTTTTGGTTAGCAGTATGACATGTTTTACACTATGCCACCAGAACTCCTTATGTACCACTATTGTTATGTGCCATCAAGTTGCCTGTGACTCGTAGTGATCCTATGTAGACAACGAAATAGAATTATAATCATGATCATAAATATATCAACTATATATTTTATCAGATAAAATATTTTGAAAATAGTTATTTCATTTTGCCTAATTTTTTAAAAATGCTTTCCTCTTTTTTCCTTCTCTATCCTCTTAATACACACTTTTTTTAGTAAGGGAAATACCATGATGTGGCTCTAGCCAGGTCTCTGTAGACATGATCCTGGGCCCTGCTATTGAAACCACTGTAGAATCAAGAGTGGAAACTGTCGTAGTTTGTGGTCTGGGCACGGTAGCAGGCTCGTGGGAAACCTGGTCTGTCGTGTGGATGCTTGGTCTATTGGTTCGTTTTGGGATCACCTTTACTTGTCTTCCTCTAAAAATGGACTCCTCTAAGGCCAAGGAGGTCCTCTCTGACTTTGAGAAGTTTATATATACAAACCCTTTGGGATGGCTACTGGACTTATCACAAAGGATGGTAACATGATTGACTGACCCATGGCCATGCAAGTGTGCTTTTAGTTCTTCTGTTGCTGCACCATAGTCTACACTGCCAACACAGATTGACTGGGCTTCACCTTCCATCTTCTCAACAGACGTGATCATTGGGCCAAGCACTGCCTGGAGATGGACTCATATTCATCTGCTTCACTACAGCGCTCTGTAATTCCCTGAGCTTTTCAGCTTCTTCCTCCATCTCCCTAACTCAAGCTTTGATCACTTCCAGCACCAGGGCCTCAATGGCACCATCCCACAGGTCACCCTCGACCAGCTGACTCCTTCTCCTCCTCCTGGCTTCCAGGGCCTCCTGAATCAGGCCCAGGGCCCAGAACCCCTGTCATTTTGCCTCATTTTTAAAAATAATTTCTACTTTCACAGGCTTCATAACATCTAAGAAGCATTACCACAAGAGTTCATATGTATATATTACAATGTTGGTGGGATTGTAAAATGGTACAACCACTCTGGAAGGCAATTTGGCATTTTCTCAAAAAGCTGAACACAGAAATTCCCCATGACTCAGCTATTCCACTGCTTGGAATATACCCTGAGAAAATGAGAACTGAGGCTCAGAGACTTGTACACTAATGTTCACAGCAGCATTATTCACCACAGCAAGAACATGGAAACAATCCAAATGCCCAACTACAAGGAATGCATTGAGAAATTATGGTACATTCTACAATCGAATACGATGCAGCACACAGGAGCAATGATTTTATAAATTATTACCTAACTTGGGAGGGACTGAAGGGCATTATGCTAAGTGAACTAAGTCTCATAAGGACAAATACTGCACAGGACCATTATTGCAGAGCATGTATGAGGATCAAGGGGGGAGGCTTAAACTTAGGGTTGCACAATTTGATGGGTGGAGGAAGGGATTGGTAAAGGAAAGGGAGAAGGTCTGGTGTGAGAAGCAATGTGTATGAACTTTATGAACCTTGTATGTAAACCAGTATAAAAAAATAAAAACGAAAAAGTTCATCTATGTGTAGATTTAAAACATACAGAGCCACTGTGTCACTAAGTTGATTCTAGCTCACAGTGAATTTAGAGAGCAAAGTCCACCTGTCTCCTGGGTCTTACAAGGCTGCATTTTCGACAGACACAGACCACAAAGCTTTCTACAGCTGAATAGCTGGTGGGTTCAAAATGGAGACCTTTGATTATCAAGTGAAAATCATTGTGCCACTAGGTCTCTTTAAACATATATTATGGAAAGAGGATTTATAAAGACCCCCAAACCTGCAAAACTGACATAAACAAAGGAAGAAAGAAGTTGGGAAGGCAGTTAGATGACCCCTTCTCTGCCCTGAGACACTAGAGTTTCCCTGGAGAACACAGCCCCATCTCCTAGGACAGAAGCTTCCTGAGATGAGATGACCTATATGGCCTTATTGCTAGGAAGATTATGTCTATGACAAAGAAGTTTATTATGTAGAAACACACAACTTCTATTACGTAAGGCACAAAATTTATCCTGGCAAAAATAGAGGGGAATCAAATGCTAAATGCATGCAAATAACAAATAAGAAACATCATTTTGCTTTAAAAAAACAAGTTCCTCTTACTTGGGTGTTTTGGTTCCACGGCAACCCTTACAATAGGAGTGGCTTCAAAACTCAGTGGTATGAATGGCGGGCAGGATGGCAAACTGCACAGGGTGGCAGATTTCAGCACAAAGTCTTGCAGGCCTCCTATTCCTGCAGGGGAGGAAGAGTCATGGGATCAATAAAGAATGAAAATATTCTGTATCTATGCTAGAAAAGTAACAAATGCAAATGAAATACCAAAGAAGAAACATAAATAAATTCAGAGAAATAGCCCACCATACATGTCACAGTGACAAACACTTGAAGAAATCATGGGGGGAGGGGTACAGGCCCTGAAGTCAGAACTGACTCATAGCTGACCATCCAGCAAGTTTTCAGAGACTTTAGGTAACATGGGAGGAGATTGCCTGCCTTTTTCGTGTGGAGCAGCTAGTGGGTCTGAACTCAGTCAGTGGATATGCCTTAATGCTGGCAGCACAGCCTCTTGCCACCAGAGCTCAAGAAATGAGGCAGGCTTACATTGTGGGTTTTCATTTTATTTTTGTTTGTTTTAGTACACTTGGATATTATTTACTTGCTGTTTAATATATAGGACTTCTGCCCATTTTGCTTCCTAAATATACAAATCCTGCTGTGACAGCTGGGCTAATACAGATCTACTTTGGTCACAGAGCTAAACATTTCCAGACACAATTGTGTGAAAACATTGCTTATTTCTAAGTATATCTCTTACATTTTAAAAAATATATTAGTAATTTGATGAAAATGAGTCACTAGTGAAATATTCTCTCTTGCCAAATATACTTGCATATATGTAGAGTGCTAACATCTGATGTAACAAAACACCAGCCTGGTGGAGGGAAACTGAAGAAAAGACTTCTGGCACACAAAACTGGATGGTGGCTGTGGGGTTTGTTCTAGTCTTGACTACGGCGTGCAGCACCCCCCCCCTTATCCAGTACATCCAGCGTGCACCACCCTTCTAGAAGGGTGAGCTCCAACTGTAACAGAATGCTGCTACATTTTGGTGAAAATCTGCCTTCTCATTTCCAAACACTACCTTATTAGTTCATTTCTCCAAAAGTTGAAAGAAAATGTACCTTTTCCACTTTTATCAAGTGCTTTTCTACTTTTTAATTTGTTTTACTGTGTCAAAAAAACATACACACACATGCGCGCGCGCGCGCGCACACACACACACACACACACACATTACTACTACTACTACTACTACAACTACAACTACTACTACTACTATCTAGTTGGATTTTCAGAGGCTGTAAGTCACACAGGAAGAGAATGCCCATTTTTCTCCCGCACAGCAGCTTTTTTATTACAGCAGCTTTTTAATTGAACTTTCAGCTAAGAGCCCAACAGATAAGACGCTGTTCCACCAAGACTCCTTCTTATACATCTATATGTATGTATATGTTCATGTGTGTATGTATATTTCTTTTTATATAAATATATGTAAAATTTGTAATTTTAATAATTTTAAGCATACGATTCAGTGGTATTACATTTAGAATGGTGTGCAAACATCATTTAGTTTCAAAACTACATTGTTGTTGCTAAGTGCCATCAAGTTGATTACCACTTATAGCCATTCTATAGATCTGCTTATTTGGATATCTCATACAATATTTGTTCTTTAGTAGTTGACTTATTTAATTCAGTATGTATTCCATGCTTATCCATATTATAGCATATGTAAGATTTTCATTAAGTGATGATGCTGTAATTATTGAACAATATCATTAATATAATATGCAAGCAAGATTCTGCTGAAAATTATCCAAAAATGACTGGGACAGCACATCAACAAAGAACGGTCAAAAGTGCAGGCTGGGTTTAGAAGAGGTTGATGTACTAGGGATATTATAGCTAATGTCAGATGGGTCTTGGGTGAAGGCAGAGAGTACCAGAGGAATTGTCTATCTGTGTTTCGTTGACCATGAAAAGGCATTTGACTGTGTGGATCACAACAAACTATGGATAACTCTGAGAATGGTAATGCCAGAACACTTGATCATGCTTATGTAAAATCTATACTTGGACCAGGAGGCAGTTGTCAGAAGAGAGTAAGAAAACACTGCATGGGAAGGGTGTACACCAGGGATGTGTCTTATCTCCATACCTTTTCAATCTATATGTAGAACAGATCATCCTGGGGGCTGGTCTCTATCAGGAGAAATCAACCATCTACATTATGCAGATGACATAACCCTGCTTGCTAATACTGAGAAGGACCTGAACTGCTTGCTGCAGAAGGTCAAGGATTGCAGCCAAACAGATTCTCACCACTGGGCTGATTGGCAGCATCATGATAGATGATAAAGAGACTGAGACTGTAAACATCTTCAGTTTGCTTTGCTCCACAATCAACACTCTTGGTATCAGCAGCCAGGAAATGAAAAGATGAACTGCACTGGGAAAGTGCTGTCAAAGACCTCTCCAAAGTAATGAAAAACAACGATGTCAGTCTGGAGACTAAGGTGAGACTGATCTAGGCCATGGTCTTTGTAATTTCTTGCTATGCATCAGAAAGCTGAACAATGACTAGGGATGACAGAAAGAGAATCGATGTCTTTGAGCTGTGGTGCTGGAGAGGAGTACTGAATATACTATGGGCTGTGAGGAAAACGAACAATTTCATCCTATTGTTGTTGGTGTTATGTGCCGTTGAGTCGCTTGCTACTCATAGCGACCCTATTTACAATAGCCCTAAACTCTGCTCTGTCCTGTGCCAGTCGCACCGCCTCCGACACACCCATCCCACTTACCCCAACCACAGAATCAATCCACCTCATAGGGGGCCTTCCCCTTCTGTGCTGTCCCTCCACCCTACCAAGCATGATGTCCCTCTCCAAGGAGCTGTCCCTCCTTGCAACATGTCCAAAGTATGTCAGACGGAGCCTTAGAATCCTTGCCTCCAAGGAGCAGCCCGGTTTGACCCTTGCCAGGATGAAACTGTTTGTTTTCCTAGCAGTCCATGGTACCCTCAATACTCTTCTCCAGCACCACAGCTCAAAGGCATCAATTCTCCTTCTATCCTCCTTAGTCACTGT